GCGTACATTTGGCGTATGAACCGTTGTTTCAAGGAAGTAACAAGAACTGTTGAATACAGTATATACCATTGGCTTCGATGTATGATGCGAGTGAAGTGGCGGGATAATGTAAGAAATCACACTGACTGTATTACAGGTAGAAATTCGAAAAAAACTTCGGCTCTTCTGAACAGATTGATTGACTACAACGATTTGCTGTTGCTAAGACACTTCTCTTGTGGAAACGGAATCTCAGCAGAGATTGACGATGGGGTTATATTGCAGCATGGATGAACAAGTGGAGCCAATCTTTCCACGAGCAATGGCTCTTTGTGCTGCGCTGTATTTGCTGCTTTATTGAAAGCTACGAGTGCAGTTAATTATATTGAGGAAAACTTGTGCGGACGATGATCGCAACAAACAATTATAATTGTATTGATAAGGCAGAAATTATATTTTACTGACTGTAGGTTACTTTAACTAACTTTGGTTAATTAACAAAGTGTGGGTCGATAAGAAAAGTACTTTAATGACCTATTTCAATTGACACTGGCATGAAAGGATGTCGAAATAGTGTTAAACTTTTATGAATTATTTATGAGAATGTCAGAGGATTTTATATCGTTCTTTATGTTTATGTTTTTCAGTTATCAGGCGAAACAATTCAGGAAAAAACACTGGCATTTTCTCTTTTTTTTTACAAGCGTTCATCCTGTGTCGTTGGATTGTGAGCGTTAGCTACGTTGACCTATTGTAGCCTTTTAGTAATTTTAAATTCTTTTTGAAGAGTGTCACCCTCGCTTAATATTATGAAAACTAGATTTTAAGACTAGTAGATTTTACTTTTGAAGTTTTCCTTGAAAGAGTTCTTGATTTCTAGCCGATAATTCATCAGGCGATTGTTCTCTTGATTCATGATGCAAACGGGGAACAGAAATGGAAACGTTGTGCCAACAATGTACACGTTTCTTTATAAACACAGCTAGCGTTGTCACTACAGGAACATTAGGTTTCCTGCATTCACTATGTAACAGAGGAACAATTGATTGATAGAGTGTTTTATTTCATGTCATTGCCTAAAGATGTATCGAGTGTGATTGGACATAATGGACACTCTGTGCCTAGTAAAGTAGTTATGCAGTACCCTTCCGCAGAAAAGGAGTTGTACAGATTTGAACTATGGTTTCATGTGAAAGTTTCAGCTTCGGTTTTCTGACAAAGCAAAACCTGTGTAAATCATTGGTTTCTGTGTGTTCCTAGGGTAGCGAGCAAGGTTATTATGCTGAAACTGCGTGGCGTTCTGTTGCTGTTGCGTGTCGCGAACATTCCATCGGATGTGGTTCGTAAACACGTTCTTTGTGCGGCTCATCAAAATGAGGTACTTTCTTGGACGAGATGTTCCAGGTTAAATGTAAGTTCATTAATTATCTAATCGAGATTAGTGCTTTTTCCCAAGGTATACGGGTTTTTAGCAAATAAGGTGTTTTGCTGAACAACGAAGGAAAGGATTTTTGTCGAAACTTGTGAATTCGATTCAGGAAGAAATCGCAAAAAACAAAGAACTAGAGGTAATTATGGGATTTATTAAATTTTTTATGTGAGATTCGTTCGAGTCGTTTTTCAGGAAAATCTGATGAAGCTTCAGTCTGAAACGCAAAAGTTAGAACAATCTGAGGCGCTGAAGAAAGCACGTGAAAAATATGTACGTACTCTATCTTTTCTTAGACATGTGCTTGTGAAAATAATTTGCCTACAAATTATAGGAACTAATCGAGAAGGAAACCATCAAAAGTTCTCAGATTTTGCGGAACAAATTGTTAGAGCTTCAGGAGCAGATGAAAAAGGTACCGCGATGAGAACTCCTCTGTTGTTCATAATTTCAACATTGATCCACAGACTCTGCAAGAAATCAAGGCTACCGAACTTGGTAAGAAAGGAGCGGAAATTGGCGAAAGTGCTGTCAATTCAGCCAAGGAAGTGGTCACTTCATTGGAGCAGTCACTGGAAACCATCAGCCGCACTGACACTTTTAAAATGATCGCTGAAGCAAGTACTCGTCGTTTACCGTTTGTTTTTTTCTGAAGCTGTGTCTGCAGAATGTAAAAGTTATCAAGGCAGAAATCGACGATATCGCGCTATCGTCGGCTCAAGTGTACCATACGCCGGGTGAGTTTTTTTTCTTGAAATATGAATTATGGAAAGTTATTTTGATATCAAGCGAACAGGGTGTCTAAAATGTGTGCATCGACAGAAACGCCGGCGAAACGTCATGAGTTTAAATTGTCTTTGCAATGGATAGATCAGCACTACACATGAGAAGGACGTGAGTTGTTGGGCTGGCTCATGATTGGTTTCAGATAAATTGGTCTTTCTATGCTATAAGGTACCAGAAATGCGGTACCCGTCGAGAAAGGGTAAGCAAGACCTACATCCCATGGGTTAAAGAATATTTTTCGTATACTTTCTAACAGTATCTAAGCTTTTGTCAGTCTCGTGGAGGTCAGAGTACGGAGTAAGTGTTAGATTCACTAGAATAGTTCCTGCATGTCTCGCATCAACGGTATTTGGTTCGCGAGTCTTCTGACTTCGATTTCCCGGTCTGTTGGTTGTAGCGCCATTTTATCACTGTCTCTGATGATGCCATTTGACAACATTTATGTCAAGCATTGACCAGAGAATTTTGCTTATTTTAACTGGCGCAGCATGCTTTCTACCTCGTGACAGTGTCCTTAGCTAATTAATATGAACGGCGGTTGATTTGCATGCTAGACAGAGCTGAAGTGGTTTTACAGTTCAAAGTCTGCCAGTCTGCTGTGATGTCTGAGTAGATGAATAACAACAAATCGG